TTATTTTATTTATTTGACAGAGAGAGACACAGCGAGAGAGGGAACACAAGCAGGGGGAGTGGGAGAGGGAGAAGCAGGCTCCCCGCAGAGCAGGGAGCCCAATGCGGGACTCGATTCCAGGACCCTGGGATCATGACCTGAGCTGAAGGCAGTCGCTAACCAACTGAGCCACCCAGGCGCCCAATAAATATGTGTTTAATAAGCAACAAGAAGTTTGTAGTTTTCTTGGTTTTCTCTTCTGATGACATCCTTAAGTGGAGATACTTTCAGTACTCTTTCAAATTCTACATTCAAAGTACAGATTCAAATATAATAATTGGTAGTTGACTACAATACAACACACAATATTTAAGACAACAAAGAATAAAATGTTTGAAAAAAAAAGAATAAAATGTTTGCATTTGTTGCTTTATAAAGGATAAGATATGTGGGTAGTATATGTGGAAGCAAGATTAACACTCAAGAACCTATAAAATGGCAATGATAGGGAAAGAACATGAATAAGTAAGTATATATTCAGGTAAAATAATTCATATTATTCATTATTTAAATATTGAGATTGAGGAAAACAGAAAAATCACATACAATATTAATTGATTTCTTCAAAACAAAGTTAATAATTAAAGGAATGCTTCAGAGAGAAACCATCTACACCTAGTTGACAGAATAATGGGGATATTCCTCTATCTCCATATAAGGTAACATTTCTGATAACAGCTGACTATTGTTTTGTTGGCCACTTCCTCCCCCAGAAAGGAATAAAAAGTGCTCATTGATTTTAGTATGATTCCATACAAGACCTGAACCCGGACTGGCAATCCCACAAGATGTACTGAATTACACAGATTGACTAGGTTAATATATACATGAATCTTGAATTGCAAAGCAAAGAGATCTGTGCTAGCCAAATACAGAACAAACCAATGTTTTGTGATGTCTGTTGAATCAACCACAGTCTGTGGCTACACTTGATGCCATGATGCAAAGACTGTATTGCACATACTGCAATCCCCTTGTGGGTCAACTCTCCAACTCTACATAAAAGAGTACCTCCTCTTCTCTATCTAAAAATCCACCCCTTTGCTCTCAGTTATTGCCTTTGTCTCATACCTAATGGAGGTATGAGGTATTAACTGGTTTATTATCAATCAAAGTGTTAACCTACCTGAATCTGTCTCCTCTACTATTGCTCTAGATTCCATGGGTCTTTCCCTTCTCAAGAATAGTTTTCCAGCAGTTACAGCCCCTTTATTTTCTTCAAAAATAGTCTTCTTTTGGATCATTGCCTATAGTATATAACTGTGCTTTTAAATTTCCCATCTTAATAAATGATTAATGATAACAAGTAAAAAATCCTCATTACCTTTATCTTTCTCTACCTAGTACCCCACATCTCTATTTTCTCCCTGTAGCATAACATCTTTTAAAGTTGGCTAAATTCACCATAACCTCCTCTTCTCCATCCATCCATGCAATAGAATAATCTCCAAAATATGGCAGCTGCATAAATTCAACTGAATTCCTCTTACCAAAATCACTAGGAGCCTTCAACTTGCCAAATCAAAAGTCACTACACTTTCTTGATTTTATTCCACCTCACAGCAGCATTCCATACAGTTGGAGAACCTCTTCCTTTGCAACATCTCTGCTCATGTCTTTCTCTTTTTCCTACATCACTGGCCAATCTCAATCATTCTAATTTACCAGTCAACCCCCTTTTGTTTAACAGTCAACTCACCCTGTATGCTTTTCTCTTCTCTAACTACATTCTCTGCCAAGGGTATCTCAAACACTGCCATGCCTACATGCTTGCTATATGACAATAACTCCCATATTAATAATTAATATATACAATCTTCATCATACTATATGGGAATATTTTCTTAGAACATGACATGACTGGATTCTCTGTAATCAACTTCAAATATCATCTCCTAAAATGTCCCTTCCTCCAGTCAGTTAATCATCATCATACCTCACCCATAATTAATACATTCATACATAGAATATCAAATATCACCTTATTTAAAATAGTTACTGTTTGTGTGTTATAACTAAAATATAAGTTTCATACTAGCAATTACCTCCAAAATGACATTTCAAAAATTCTTCTAGTAAGTGTTAGGTCCATAATGTATGCTATTTAAGAAAGAGAAGGAGGAGTGGGAGGAGGAAGTGAATGAGGAGGAGAAGTATGGAGTGGGAAGAAGAAAGTTTCATTGCCTACCTACCAAATAGAAAAATATCAACGTGTCATTTACATCTAATGATAATTGGTCCTGATACATATTTACAGCTAAATTTGTTTATGCTGTAAAGACCTATGTTCTGAACACGTGTAGAAAGAAGTTTTTAAATTGTTTCCTGGAATGTTAAAAAACAAGAATCAGGAAAAAATACAATAGAATATACAATTTTAGATTTGGTGGCTAATAAATCAAATGTTTAGGTAAAGCAATTTTAAAGTATGTTAGCATAATTTAAAATGACCATTATGGAATAGAATTTATCACACTTAAGTAAATTTTATGAACTTAATTTTACTACATATTGTGCTATCAAAACTTTCTGACTCAATGAGTGAACAAATTTTGCATAGACACACCATAATTTCCTCTCCATTAGAAAGACATTTCTGATTTTCAATGCATTCAGTTCTTATATCTTATGGAAAGCACTTGCTTCTAGATGCATTACATTTAAAATATTTATAAAAATAGCATTGGAATGGAAAGGAACTTTGAAAATAAATACAGTTGCACAGAGCTTTTCAACCACTTTGTTTTGTTTTTAGTCTTTATGGTCTATGATTTTGATGCATAGAGTAATTGTGTCTTATAAATTGGCTTCTACTACTTAAACATGCATATTTTTCAGGATGACCTTATGTGCTTTTTTAAGATACAAAATTATATCTTGTCCTGGAAAATGCATTTTTATAATGGGGAAACTACTAAGTGAATAAGCTGAAGAATTTTATAAATCACTAAAACATAAATTTTTTTAAAGATTTATTTATTTATTTATCAGAAAGAGAGAGAGAGAGAAGGAGAGAGGGAGAGAGCACGAGCAGGGGGAGTGGCAGGCAGAGGGAGAGAGAGAAGCAGGCTCCGGTGCTGAGTAGGGAGCCCAGTGAGGGAATCAATCCCAGGACCCTGGGATCATGACCTGAGCTGAAGGCAGATGCTTAACTGACTGAGCCACCCAGGCATCCCTAAAGCATACATGTTTAACCCCTGTTTCTTGCCTTGAATACCGAGATATTTTAACAAGACAAATAATGTATTTATATATGGTACCATTGTTTACAAAATTTAAATGATAGTCTAATTTTTTAAATATTTTAGTTAACATGTTTGTAGAAGGAAGTACAAGTGTTGAACTTTAAATAATTCACTTCCAAAACGTATGCTCAAAATTTTAAATCTGTTGTCATTGTTAATATATCTTTGATGTAAATTAATATGCAATACCTTCTGGAGACATCTCTGGTACAATGGCCTCATAAGGTTCATCTAGGAATTTTGGTTCATTGTCATTGATATCCGAAACTCTGATGACAAACTCAGACTCAGGTTCCACAGCCCTTCCGGTAGTGCTGTCTATTACCTGGGCTCTTAGAGTGTAGAGGGATCGTTCCTCTCTATCAAGCTTCTGGACGGCATATATGTCACCTGTTCTCTCATCAATGACAAAAATACTTCCAGCTCCAGCTCCCAAAAGCTTGTACTGGAAAGAGTTGTTTCCATTGTCTAAATCAGATCTTAGCTGAAAGTGCAAAGAGGGATAATTTAGTTTCCAGACATGTTTAAATGGACAAATCAATTTTAACAATTTTATTTTCATGTCTGTTAATTTTTCCCCAAGTTAATAACTCCATGTAATTCCCATAGTATATTAAATCAGGTGAAATATTAATCTTAAGATTAAATTCTATCATCAGGCAGAGGAGTCTGAAATTTCAATGTAAATCACTATATAAATTTTATTACTCTAAATGGATTATTCTAATTAGAAACTATAATAATTGAAAAACAAAGTACCTTTCATAAATTATGCACAACAAAGTTGGTTCATGTTTACTCTGTGATTACATTCTTGGTCACTAAAACCATAATCTCAAATATTTGTATTAGATTGTGATCTAGAGACAGATGGGAAGATAATATTCTAGATAAATCTAAACAGTGATGTTCTATCTCTAGGCTAAAAACACATAGGAAACATGAAAATATTACCAGGAAAATAAGGGAGCATGTTGAGAAGATAATGAGAGCCTCAGCCATCCTTGCTGGCATTTGTAACATGCCATAAAATCTACAAGTTGCTTTGTATATGATTTCCCAATTAATCCTCATAACATCGTGAAATATATATTATTGATATAATCATTTATACCGAGAAAGAGAGACTGAAAATTTTTAAAACTTTCACAAGAGTCATGATTTTTGTATAGGTTTATATAGATTTAGACAACAGGTCTGTCTGACCCCAGAGACCCTACTGCTCTGAGTTTTGCCAAATTAGATCTAACTCTTTCTAACATATTCAACTCAATTCTCAAATACATCTTTTCTTCTTGTGCCCTCATTATTTTTATTTTTCAAAAGCAAATTTGTTCATTCATAGTGTTAATAGAATTGTGAATTTTATATATAAAAACAAGGGTTATTATGATATAGGTAACATTGGTTGGTTGGTTTTTCATATCTAAATTATTTTTACATATAAAGAAGAAGTATGCCATAATCCCCTAATTATTGTGAATCCATAGTTTTCTTGAGTCATCATTTATGAATATGTCCTCCTTCAAAGTAAGAGCTTCTCCGAAAATTTACAAAGCTAACCAAAGAAATACATCTTAAACAAATTCATAACTGTTCTGATAGTTCAAGGTAAAATGACTAATTAATACATTTCTCTGTGATTGGGTAGAATATCTGAAGATATCTAAAGCAATTAATTTTAATAATTTTAATAATGTGTTGAATAACACTGCTATTCATTGAAAGAAACAGATTGGGGATAATAATAAAGAGATAATAAAAGTGTTATAGCTCTTTTAATTTGATAGCTCTTCATTACTCATAAGATAAAAAGGAAGTTTCCATGACTTACTAATAAGAAATTTAGGGAAACAAATGTCCTTTCCAATAAGTATATCAAATGAAAGTAAGGTATGGCTATGTTTTTCAAATATCATTTTGATACAGTTTGAAAATATGATTCAATATCAGAATGATGATAAATCAAATTTAGTAATGAATAAATGTATTCCAAGTATATATACACAGTATAATTTTCATGAATCAGTGAGCTTGATCTTTTTAAGGACTCAGATTTAAGTAAAAAAAAAAAAAAATATATATATATATATTTACTTATTTTTTTAAACATCAGCCTCTTAATGTCACAAAATGTATAAGTTAAAAACATTTTAATTTTATGAAATCTGTATTATTATATTTTCTGTATTTCTATTCAAAAATATTTTTTCAATTAGTCAGTTACTATTGATTCAGCAAATCAATATGCCTTTAATTTTTTACTTAATTGTGTTTTCCAAATTTAATCTCTGTTAATAAACAGTTCAAAAAGAAAGTGATCTAGACACATCAACTACATTTTAGTTTTACCAGCTCTTTAACTACAACACCTGAATATTCATTCTTACTCTCTCTTAAACCAGTTACCTGTATGTTATTTAAGACTAATGACATTGTTTCGGGGGAAAACATCTGTTAGATTATTTTCATAAGTATTTTTACAGAATGAAAAAAATAGGGAAAACCAATCACGATGTGAAAGGAGGCAACAGGAGATGTGCCCGGAGCACAAAAACAAAAACCAGAAAATGTGACAGTCAGCCAGGGAGGTAGTCTCTGCTCTGATTGTACTGATGCACTTCCCTGTAGAGCCTTATTCACTAAAAGTCACCAGCCTCTGTTAGTCTGTGACCCCGCTCATTGATGGGAGAGCTTATAGGGCTCTGCAGAGTTCACTGTAAATGTGGCTACAGAGACTCAGTCAACTAGCAGACACTTAACTATGGATCTCATTTGTGTCATCCTGCCTCTGATTTACCTGCAGTCATCTTAGAGAATAAAAAGATGTGAAATGTGATTCAAAGCAGGCACACATACATACACAAATGTTTGAAATCTGTTTGCCTAAGATCCTAATCTGAACCTTTGGTTGAATATACACATATACATTTGCTGGATGGGATAGATGAACTCCTTTAGAATCTGGACATCACGCTAACACTGCAGCTCTCCTGAAAGACTAGGAAAAGGGAGTTAATGAATTTTGAGTGCTTCACCCTTTGGCCCAATTAAATTTTAGTGCTAGTTAATTGGTGGTTAAACTTATTTCAGTTCATTAGTCTAGAGAAAGATCCTTACAGAAAAGGACACGGTATTGTAATTACCTCTGTTTAAAGAAAATTGAATAGTAATAAAAACCAAAAACATAAGTAAGGAATGTTCTATCTCATGAAGGAAATTTAATATATATATATATATATTCTTATAAGAAAGTAAAAATAATTATTCTTTATCCTTCATAATCAAACCCTTGAAGCTACTTAGCTGTAAAAGGTTTGGTATTAATCTGCTTCATGAAAAATTAATGGTGGGTAAATCAACACCTACTGAGCATAATAGAAAATCAGGCTAAACACTGTTGGTAAACATTATTATTCTCAGTGTGGTTGCTTTGATCCATTACCAAAAATAACACCATCAAATTTCCAGATGTTGATAAATGAGGGCAGTATTTTCATATGGGAGAAAAAAGTGAAATTTGAAATTCAAAGCTTTTCTTCTTCCTCAAGTTTTGCAAATATTTTAGGTGCTTGAAAATCTGAAACAATTAATTAGGCTGATGTCTGAAGCTTTCTAAGGGTTCCACTGAGAAAATGTAGAATTCATCAAATGCCTTAAAACTTCCTCAACCCAACCATTTAGATTTACATAATGTTATTTCCTGTAACACTTTGATAAAATCAGTACCTGGCCAATGTGATAATTAGTCTTATTCATTTCCTCTGGTACAAAAAACTGGTTCCACATCCAACCACGCTTCACTCTGAAATGAGAACCCACTGGGTGCTTAACCTCGTCTGTTGTAGAGATTTCTGTTGCTGTAAAGCAAGGCCATATGAGAGGAATTCCCAACAGGAAAGGTAGCAATAAGCAACAATTCATTCTGCTCTTTTGATTCCAACTGGTATTCTTCAGAGGAAAGAGTAGTTGCAAACAAAACTGTATGTTCCTTTATAATCTTTTTAAGTCTTAGGTATCTTTCATATTCCTAAAGAACAAGAAACAAAACAAAATTTTACATTTAAAAATAACATTTTCTCACATAATTGCTAACATTAGGGTACAACTTTTGCATTCATAAAAATGGAACAATACACATTTAATTTATCTTCCAATTAAACTAGTTATATTTTGTAGCTCAGCAATAATTTGAATGGTATAATTAGAAACTTCCGCTCAAGCACTGTCCATTTTAATCTGTAGCCATAAATCTGCCTGAAGGTTGAAAAGTTGGTCTGGCAATCTCCTTGATTGATAGCTGACACTGAGATAGATTTTTTCTTTAATTTAACCTGCTTACATCTTCCATTCTATCTTGGTAAAACTCAACAGTCAAGCCAGGGGAAAAAAATGTGATCTTTCTCCTTTTTCTAAATAGCAATAAGTTTCCTAATCCAATTTCCCAAGTTATAGTATCTTATCTTGTATTAAATAGACAAAATGACAATTCAGTTTGAAACCTGGGGGATTTAATTATCAGTTATATTGATGTTATAAAACACTCTGTGAACAGAAAGCCCATGCAAGATATTTACCATTTTATATTATGAAAGATATGAAAATAAATGTTTTTCATCTTAACAAAGAGATGATCCTATTTTTAGAAAATAAATAACAAAAAATATAGTGCCTGGGTAAAAATGGCTGTTTATAATATATAAGATGGAGATAAAAGATATCTTCTATTACTGAAATAGAAAAAGAGAAACTTCAACTACTGAATTTTACATGTAAAACTTTCCATTTAACTGATACTGATCATACCAACTCTCTTTGAAATGACTAGTAATTCTCACCCTTATAGAAAATTGAATAGCTCTGCATTTACCACACTGACACAGCACTCCATATAACCAAATTGAATTTGTTTATTTGGGACTCATGAAGAAAAATAATTTTGTCAGGTCTACAATGTAGCTGAATACTACATAATCAACCAAAAAGCCAGAGTCCCTGTTTCTGTTAGGAGCTTTCTATATGATCTCACTTTCAATCTCCACAAATTTTTGAACAACCGCCAAGAGATATTTTAGGTCTTTGACTCTTGTTAGAAAGAGTCGTTAAAAACACCTAATTAAGAAAGCACATTGTTATAAATGGGGACACTGTGGTGCCTCTGAGTTCCTTCAAGCAGATGTTTTCTTTGTTATATATTTACTTAATGAAGGCCATGAAGAACTTCAACTGAGGTGAGAATTAAAGATGAATTTCATTCTTATGTTGAATATTTGAAACTTAAATATGGAAAACTATCACTAACAGTGGTGTGAAGTGTAATTATAATGTTGGGTAAATGTATTTGTGTCAATTTTAGATTATATTTTCATTCATCTAGGAAAAAGAGTGAGGGATTTTAGGGAAGATGCTGTTTTAGATTAAAAGATACTTAAAACACAAAAGAACAAGTGTAAAATAAGGACGTTGTCTAGAACTTAATTTGTACAAACCTATTTTTATATTTACATTTTTTATGGATTTGTGAAAATCCAATATGATAATTCAATATCTTGAGATGATAAAAAACACTGTGGATTTTGTTAGTTATAGAAGTTTCTTTGTGGTTATATAAAACCATTTTTTTGATCATGTATACTGAAACATGTTGATGTTGGAAATAAGATGATGTCTAGAATTTTTTTAAAAACATTTCAGAAACAGTAGGAGCTCAGGTAAAACCATTAAGGCAAAGCCTTGGTAATTAATTCTTGAAATTAGGTCATGAGCATTTGCATAGCTATTATTTTATTCTTCATTTGTGTTTAAAACTTATAAATTAAAACAACAAAAATACAATTTACTCTGTATTTTTAAAATCAATATGGTGGACAAAAATCATTAAATAGTTTAATATCAGCTATTCATGAGAACTCACAAAAAAACAAACAAAACCCTTATACAATGCTGATGAAATTGAAAATTTGGACAATTATTTTGAGGAATAGTTTGGCCAAATCTACTATATTTAAAAATTAGTTGAATCTATAAACTAACAGCTATTCTTTTTTACTGGTTTATATCTAGAGAAACTTTCAAATTTGTCCACTGTGAGGCAAATATAAATTGGGTTAATTTGAAAAATATGTATAGAAAAATAAAGTTCAGATCAGGGAACTATATGATACCAATTATAAAGTGTTTCAAAATTATAAGATGATGCCATATGAGACTGTTGTCATAATAAATTCTGTAAAGTAAGTCTAGGAAAAGAAAAATGATACACAAAATTTATTATGGTAATTACCATGTTAGTAGGAGGAGAAATTGGTTTAAAGATTGAGGTTTAGAAATATGTCTCATTTTTCTCCCTCTAAACAATCTCAAGTAAATATGTCAAATAATAACACTCATTAAATCTGGGTGATTTTTCTACCATATGTTAGATTTTTTTTTTCAGATATAGTACATGATTGAAATATTTTACAATTAAATTTAAAACTAAAAGTTAAACTATCGTTATTTTACAATCCTAAATCATAACAAAACAGATAGGAGTACCCTTTTATTTGAACCTCTTAATATAAAAATACAAGAATGAAATGGTAGCAATAGGTATGTCTGAATTATGAAATATTAATGGCTTTGTTTATACTCTTCTAGATGCCAAATTGTCTATAATGATCATACGTTTAGGGGAAGGGAAAATGTTTCAAGTAATGGTCCACTTCTGATTGAAGAGTGTTGACAAGCTGTGTGCAGTGCCAGGCTGAGAAATATTCAGGCACCGTCTGGGCTAATAAGGAAAAATGCTATCAATTAGTATGTCTGAAATGGGCCCTAGAGAAACAAGCAGTGGTATTTCCACCCTACATCTCCAATCCTGCTGATATTTTCCAGTCAGGTGAATGTATGGATGAAAACCTGCATAAGATTTCAATATGGAAAAAAATGCTAATACTGTGTCTCATGTTAATTTGCTTAGATTTAATCTCATTGCCAGTAACTAGGCATATTTATAAATATTAAATAAAATGTAGAGTGAACTATATTTCATTACCTATCTTGAAAATATATATTTCAAAATATATAATGTATACAAATTAAGTGACATTGCTGTTAACACAAAATTACAAAATAATATTAATATTTGAATAACAGTATTATAAAATATAAAATATTGTGTTCAAATAGGATCATATAATTTTAGTATTAAAAATTGTATTTTCTCTAAAGCATTACATTTACATATGAAGGAATTTCTATTAAGACATTTTAAGTGACCTGTCCAGTAGCAAATAGTTATTTACCAGTGGAAGTAAGATTGGAAATCTAATCTTTTTTTTTTTTTAAAGATTTTATTTATTTATTTGACAGAGAGAGACACAGCGAGAGAAGGAACACAAGCAGGGGGAGTGGGAGAGGGAAGCAGGCCTCCCGCGGAGCAGGGAGCCTGATGCGGGGCTCAATCCCAGGACCCTGGGATCATGACCTGAGCCGAAGGCAGACGCTTAATGACTGAGCCACCCAGGCGCCCCGGAAATCTAATCTTAAGGGCATGGAGTATTCACTGTGCTTTACTGAAGAAAGAAAACATGTAGATGTCTAAAAAAGTGCATGGCATCTGTCACTGATAGTTCACCTTATTTAAATTAACTAAATATATGGAAATTGCATTTGAACGTCTGGACCAGTCTTGAAACTAGACATAATAAAATGTTTTCTATTATCTCCTTTTAGAACACCTCTTTCTCCCTGTTCTAAAGATTCTTGAGGTCAAAAACAGGGAAGAATAAGTCAGAATGATGGATTTGGTGTCTGTGGGGAGGAAAAGTTGAAGCTAGGAAAATGTGGATGGGATAAATATAGAAACTCAATCCTATTTGTGATCTTTTTAAAAATCAAGTGAAACTTGGCAGCTTCATAGAGTGACACCATACATAAAGGCTTCTAAATGGCTTTCTCAGAACCACTAATAGGAAATATAGAAAGAAATGTGTGTGGATATAGCTTGCATACATAAGCGAGAAGAAACGATATTTCTGGACCAAAATTTGTGATAAACCATGTGCCAACTCTTTCTCTAGACGTAGAATGTAAAACATATTTCTTTGTCCCATTTATAAACTCTCGTTAAACATATATTTTACATATTTACTGGCAGAATTAAAAGTCTTGTGCTTCAGCTAAAGCAGTATAAAGTTAGAGGGCTGTACAAGAGCTTCTCAAGCCCACTTTGGCAGGAACTTCCCTGTTCACTACTTGTGTGATGTCCTAAGATGGGGACAAGTGCCATTTCATCCCTGGGCTGGCTATCGTGGACTCTGTTCTCAGTGGTGCAGAGGACTGTGGATTAATGAGCACTGTATTCAGTGCTAAGCATTGACAATATTGAGCCTGAGTGTGAAAATATTCCCCAACAAGAAGAGACAGATTCCAGTTGATGAAATACTCACTGGCAAAATATCACTTTAAAAAATGTGGTATTCCACTTTTTTCCACCCTCCACAAGTTACCAGAACGTGATTTCTCATTATTTCTAAACTAAATCACTAGAAGCATCTGTACTGAAGATTCACCTAAAACGCTTTTTGGACTGTATCCTTCATTATATGTTGCCAATGCAATTAATCTGTATAGGACTTCATTATATCTTTGCCATGTTAGTAATGATTTTAATTTGGACATTGCATGTCAACACAGTATTTCTTACACTTATTTTTCTTGTGTGATTGCAGTCAAACCTGTAAAATATTTTCTTTAGCAAATTTTCTTTTTCTTAATGTTCTTGTGAAAATACATAACATAGAAAAATAAAGCAAAAAGACCCCACAAAAAATAAAAAAAAGAAAAAGAAAGCAATACTTTATTTCTAATATCTAAAGAAGTATCCTAATATCACTTCATTATTCCTGGAGGTAAACCCACATATATTTCTCCATGCTTTTAGTTTTACTGCATAATTTAAAAACACCGGGAATTCCCTGAATACTTTAAATCTATTCATTTGGAGAGATACCAAAAATTGTTCTCATAGTCAACAAAGAAACAAGT